GAAGGGTTTGGGGGAGACACTGTTTCCCCTAGCGCCACCTGGCATGACAAGGAACAATGGACACAAATTATTGGAGAGTAGGTTTAGATTAGACATCCGCAAGAATTACTTCACAGTTAGGGCGGCTAGGAGCTGGAACCAACTTCCTAGGGAAGTGGTGCTGGCTCCTACCCTGGGGATCTTTAAGAAGAGGCTTGATGCCTACCTGGTTGGACTCATTTGAGTCTAGTTTTTTCTCCCGCCCAGGCGGGGGGTCGGACTTGAAGATCTGCAAGGTTCCTTCCGACCCTACTATGATTCTATGAAACTTTTGTCCCCGACTCAACAGTCCAATTGGGACAAGGTGCTGCTGCAGTACAGACCCCAAGAGAGCTCTTATTCTATGTATGTAGCTCTGTCAGTAAGTCACTTACCATTCCCGATATTTCTAAGATTAGAAAAAAATCATGCAGACTTTTATATACCATACAGAATGATGAAAGAAAACAACCTAGCACCCATTCACTAATATAGTTTGGAACTAGCAAGTCTCCTCTTTCAAGTCCCTGGGCCTCAGTTTGTCTCAGGCTGGACATGCATCATCAGTGACTGCTTCTTCTTGATGAATGTAGAAACTTCCATATTTTCTTTTATCTCATTGCACCATTTTGTATTGCACTCCTCTGCATTCTGCTGGTAGTAGTTGGGAGGGAGCTGAATGACTGACAGCAGCTTTCCTGTAACTGCCCAGTTCAGTACGTGCATTCTGTCAGGCAATGCTCTTATTTTCGTAGACTTCACTTCTGTTTTAGCTTGTGGTCCTGAAAAGAAATTATTCCACAACCCTGGGGCGGTAGCTGTGACAAATCCATGTAAATATTCTTAAAATAATCTCCTTTTGGGAACAGATATACAATACGGAAGAGAGAAAATCTGAATGCTGTTTGGCTGACCCCTTGGTCAACCAGCTACTGAGTGGGATGAAGTTATTGTTCTAAGAGTACATGTATACATTCTCTGCTCTGATCCAGAGTTTTAACTTGCATTAAATATTTTTGTTTAGTTTAGTTAGCCCCTGAGCTAGCCTGGGACCTTCCTTTTAAGTTAGTTTGTTCACTCCCAGAGGAAGAACAAACATCACTATCGGCTACCAGATTCCTAATCCAATTCCTTTCTCTGCATTCATCACAAGCAGAAAGACAACACATTAGTGGCTCTAAACTACTATAGTAGTTATTGCTAGTTGTGTGTTTTAGTCTTATCTAATTAGCTGCAGCCAAATAAATGAAGCAAATCTGCAGTGTAAAGATTCTAAACCAGCCTAGCAGTCTACTGACAATACAACATGGAAGACTAATATGCAGGGTCAGTGTCAACTCTTTGCTTGCTGGACCAGTAGGATCAGGGTGGCCAACCACAACAATTTTTTTATATTCTTTTTTTCCTTACTGATAATTTGCTAACTTTTACTGGCAACCAAACATTTTTACTGACATATATATTTTTACTGGCACATATCTTACATAATATAACTGCAACCCTTCTGCTAGACTCTGAACAAGAGCTGGGTTCAGATTTAGGTGTTTAACACCAAACATATTAAAAGTATTTGGTCGTTGGTCAAAAATTTTGCAAATAATCAGTAAAAAAAAAGTTTGACTTCAGAAACCCTGCTTGACTGCAACAGTGATTCTATACCATGCTCCCCCATCCTCCAGAGGTCCCATACTTACCCCCAGACCTTGAAACCCCCTGACCACACCCTCCACCATGCTACTCACCCAGCCTACCCTCCACCTTTCCTCCTGTCAGTCCCACTCCCCTGTCCCTGCACAGAGCCCCAGTGAAGGACCACTGGTTGCCTACCTGTGAGATTAGTGGTATTGCAGGCAAAAAGGATGCAGCAACACACAGTTTGGGAGGGGGGCAGGGAGCTAGAGAGAGCTACAGAGAGTCCTATAAGCTACAAAGCCCTAAAAAGAGCTCCCTTCAGAGTACTGCATTCTTGGATGGACAGCAGGTGGTGGTGCTGTGCTCTGTCTGTACTTCAACAGCGTGTCCAGCTTTTTTCCAACTATAAAGCTTGATTGAAGCTCCAGTAGCTTTCTGTTTTTACAGATGGTAGTACAAACTATTTCACTAATCCACTGTAGTTTTAAGTGACTAAACCAAAGTAAGCTAATTTGCATCTAATTAGGTCCCAGGTGGGTATAACTGCCCCAAATGCATTTGAACTCAAGGAGATAAGCATTGATAGACTCATCCTTCAAACAGAGATATTGAAGTACCATGTTTTTAAGAGGCTTGTTGAAGTTCACAATGGGCAGAACTACAAACAGGAATAGAGTACTGTAATGATGCTGAAGTCTGCGCTGCAATCAATAGATTAAAGTGCATCATTACATTATAGACAGTGCCAGTCTCTCCAGAGTTAAGGCTGCAATGTTTTCCATTATTTTCATCATAAAGACTGTTTTCATGCTTCCCTCTAGAAGCAAATCTATTTAAATTTCAAAGCTCATTAATTTTCCAAATGTTGAGGTTAATAATTCTCATGCTGAAGTACGTATTTTCCTGAACATTTGGAAGAAACTGAACAAATACTATTTCAGTGAATTGACTTTTAAAATAGATTTTAGTAATTTTTATGCAGTATATGATAGTTCTTTGTGTTCTTACCCATTGCAGATGGTGTTACATTTGTAACTCATTATTCACCTGATCATTAACTACCATCCTAATCCTACCTATAAACCTATTTTCAACCAGATAAATCTCATTAACTGAGCACTTTGGTCGGTGAATATTTTCTCCATGAATATGTAATCCTCAAGTCTTATGCTGTAGCATTTTTTTCTAAGTCAGTAGAAAGGTATGTTCATAGAAATGAGAAATTATGATGTCTGAATCATCTGTTTGTGCTATCAGCAGCAAGGAACATGGAGAGGACTTCTGTGGCAGTTATTAAGTATGCTCAGCAGATTTTCTTGAAGCACACAACCTAGTGAAGTAAGGTGTATATATTTTTATCTGATCTGGTTGGGTCTGTGGTAATATGGTAACACTGCTCTACTACATGAGGAGTTTATAGAAATCAAAAAAATTGTTATTGTATAAACTGATGTCTCAAAACCTGTGACACTCGGGCTAATGACAGATTCCCTAGCTAACCATATACAACATGAGACCAAGTCATTGTTAGCAAAGGGCTTGAATATGGCTAACTAAAAAGAACCACTACACTGTTTTCACTAAGATGACAAAAATGTTTGTCTTTGGACAGAGACATTGTCGCTTCAGACACTGAAGAAACTATTGCACACTCAATTTTTTCTGCAACAGATCAGAAGGGGAAAAATATGTTTCTAAGTGTACGCTAAAGTATGCAACTGTAATTGTTATGCTAAATCTTTCCATTGTAATGCCAACAACAAACCCTCCTTTCACGATTGTGCATGGAGTGGGAGCTGCAGAAGTTTGTCAAAGGCAGTATAGGAAGAATGATAGTTAATATTACTTTTTGTTTGAAAAGTTACTTAAATGCATTTCAAATGCTGTTTAAAATGTTTTATTTAATTTAAACAGAAATGTTTGTTAACCTAAATTCAGGAGGGTGGGACACAGAAGCCATGGATTTAACTCAGTGGAATGCTTGCTGACAAAGCTTGCGAAGACAGGATTCTGGACCGTGCTTCAACAGAGCTAAGTGACATGCAGGAAAGGAGAATGTAATAAGAGTTGCACTTAATTTGTAAAGTGAGATAGGATTATATTAACTCTAGCAAACATCAGATGTCAGCAAAAAAAGTGTGTACTGAACAGTTCCAGCTCTGTCCTTATGTTTATATTGCTCTCCCTAGATTTTAAAACCAGATGCATCCCTGAACTATTTCCTTCTACCTGACCCAGATCACAGGACAGTTCTTATTTAAAAAAAATAAAATAAAAAGGAAAAGAAATTCTAAGATGAAAATCTTAACTTTATTAGTTTTTCACAGAATAAGGATCAATTTTTGTAAAGTCAAAGAAGATTCAGATACCTTTGTAGTCAGTAGAGATGTTATCATATTTCCATACCTATTGAAACCTCAGGCTGCATTAATTTTTTACAGGTTCTTCATGAGCTTGGTGGGTAGACAATGCACATCTTTCATTATTTCTCTGCCTTCCCAGAGAACATCTTTTGGATCTGAGACTGGTAATGTGTGCTATGAACTGGAGCTGACCTGCTTTTGTGGAGGAGCAAGGAGATCTGTGCATAGAAGGAACTTTCCATATGTCTTCCTCCACAGATTGTTAGTATTGTATTCCTGCCAATCTGGCAAAGCTTTTCTTATTTTCCACTGCTGCTTACGAGGATAACTATGATTGGGCTGGGCAGTACAGATCACACCTGCCTGACTGCCCCTTTCTCCTGCAGGGCTGTTTTGGATCCAGCACGTGCTAGTGCTGTGTGCATGATGGTCGAGGACTATGTGGCAGGGGTGCAGGGTGCAGTGGTATGGCAGCAGTGGTTGCCGGACCAGTTTTGGGGAGGCTAAGCCCTGTTAGCCCCAGCCTTCCGCTGCTTATGGTCATCCCTATAATCATTTATCTTATCTGCATTTATAAAGCATCCCCTATGATCATAATTTCTAGAACAGTACCAGACTGCCAGTAAGTGGTATGAAGGGGAGGGGAGTTCAGGATGAGTGGTTGCTCCTCAAGGGAGCGATCCTGAATGCACAAGCAAAGTCTATCTCATCTCAAAGGAAAGGCAGCAAAAGGGCACAGCAGCCCTCTTGGCTCAGCAGGGAACTAGCAGATCACTTGCGTCTAAAAAGAAAGACCTACAAAGGATGGAGGACTGGATCCACCTCCAAGGAGGAATGCTTTGCACTGCTCTGGACCTGCAAGGAGCGAACCAGGAAAGCCAAGGCCGTCACTGAACTTTAACTAGCTATGAGTATTGAGGAGAAAAAAAAGTCCTTTTTTTAGATATGTGAGAAGCTGGAGGAAATGCAAGGGCAACACTGGACCCCTGCTAAACCAGATGGGAGAACTGAAGGAGATGGCGAGCATCATAGCTCAGCTCCTGGCATGCATCTTAGAGAACTCCTGGCGCTCTGGTGAAGTGTCCGAATATTGGAAGAAGGCCAATGTGGTGCCTATCTTCAAGAAAGTGGGAGGAAAGTGGATCCTGCAAACTATAGGCCTATCAGCCTGACCTCTATCTTAGGGAAGATCTTAGAAAAGATTATCAAAGAGGCCATTCTTAACAGACTGGCCAATAGCAGCATCCTGAGGGATAACCACCACGGGTAGGTCTTGCTTGACCAATCTAATTTCTTTTCTCGACCAGGTGACTTATCACCTGGACAAGGGAGAAGAGATTGATGTTGTATATCTTGACTTTAAAAAAAGCCTTTGATCTGGTATCCCATGATCACCTTTAAGCAAAACTGGCTATCTGCGGCCTTGGCCTCACCACGATCCGCTGGCTGGGGAATTGGCTCCGTGGTAGGACTCAGAGGGTGATGGTTGATGGAAGTCAATCGTCGTGGTGTGCTGTGACCAGTGGGGTCCCTCAAGGCTCTGTTTTTGGGCCTCTACTATTCAACATCTTCATTAATGATGTGACATTGGTATCAGAAGCAGACTAGCCAAGTTCGCCAATGACACCAAACTTTGGGGTAAAGCATCCATACCTGAGGACAGGAGGGCAATCCAGGCTGACTTTGACAGGCTCAGGAAATGGGCGGATGAGAACCTGATGGTGTTTAACACCAAAAAATGCAAGGTTCTCCACCTTGGGAAGAAAA